CTTCCTTATCTTTGTCGCGAGACCAGCCGGGTACGTGTAGGACCCGCGCCTGCCTTTGTAATTGACGGTCAACAAACTAGTGTAAGAGGGTGGATTTGTCTGTCCCTGTCTAGTTAACGCGAAAACGACAAACGGCAAACCGCTAATGCGCCACCTGAGTGAGTGTGAGAGGACACAAAATTATAATAGTTTTTATTTTATTTTTATTTTATTGAATGTTTTGCCCGTCGGAAAGTGTTTGTCAACTCTCGACTATTCGACGGTAGAATAAGGAACATGGAACGGTAAGTACTCAACGTATCGTTCCAAACTAAAATTCAATTACATTTGTTAAATTTGATTATTTCTTTTTATGTCTTGCTAATTTCTTTTGATAAATAAAATTTGTGATTCTTTTCCTAATTCTTTGCTAATTAATTCTTTCCCTCTATTCTATCCATGACAATTTAATAAAAGAAGTCGCGGTATATTTTCTAAGTCAATCTAGAAAATATCAGCATTTTAGCGAAAACGAACCCATGAATATAAACTTAAATCCAAATTGGATTTAAGGCAGTTTGGACCTCCGAGAACTCTTGAAATTTGGACTATCTCAAAAGCCCCCAGTTTCATTTAATAGATTATTTTTAAGGTAATTTATTTCTATAAACTAATAATTTCTTTGGTTCGTAACAAACTGATGGTGGCAGCGGTGGGATTTTCGACCTGAAATTTTAATCCAAAATTTCGATCTTGGATTTCGATTTTAATTCCCTAAAATTGCTACCTTGCCACGTTTCTTTTTAAATTGTTATCTTTATTCTTTCTTTATTTTCATTTTAATTTCTATCCCATTGTTCCTTCTCTGATAACAATTAACATGTTACTTTTGTAACGTGTGTTACCAGAATCAAAAATTTGAATTCATTCCTTAATCTTTCTGCAAACTTTTAATTTTCTACTTTTCACCAATTTTCCTATCATCTTTAATTTCTTAAATTTATTTGATCTCAATTATAATTTCTATAATAAATTCAGCACTGAATCCTTAACGGAATAGTATTTGACGACACTATTGTGACGAAGGGATTTTTGGCTCTCGCATAGCGATGATGACATAATCTCTGAAGTGCAGTGGTGGCTCGAGAAATTCTGTAAAAGGGTTTTCCTGCATTTCAAATTTCTATCTAAAATCATTTTCAATTTTCTGGACTACAATTCTACCTAGTGATAGTATGTGATGACGCTGCTACAATAAAGAGATTTTTGGCTCTCGCGTAGCGATGATGACATTATTCTCCGAGTTGTGACGGTGGCTCCAGAAATCACTGTGGGTCAGGATTGTAACCCCCGCAGTTTTATTAAAAAAAAAAAAAGAGTCGTTTTCTTTTCCTTCTTTCTCTCTCTAATCTTTTCTATTTTCCTTTCCGCATTAATTGATATTAATGCCAAAATATTCAAAAAGAGGTTAAAAGATCAAAGGGTAATTTTTACAGAAGAATTTTCCTCTGTTGGGAAAATTGAGGAAAATTCAAAGATCAGAAAACCCTAACCTCTTGGACGAATTGTCCCATTTATATTTTCCTGTATCCCATGAATTCCTAAAAAAAAAAAAAAAAAAAAAAAAAAAAAAAAAAAAAATTTTTTGAATTCCTGGATAATTTTCCCACTATCTATTGTGTTAAAACACATCTCAAAATTTACTCAGAAAAGTTGGAAAAGGTTTACTGTCAATCTTGATTAACATTTATTAAAATTCTTTTTCTTCTGTATCTATCCCCACCATTTTATGAGCCGGAAAATTCGCGTGCAAATTAACAGGAATTTTCCGCGGTGGCGAAAATTAATCGTAAAATAAAATTTGTCTTTTCCATTATAAAGAAAATGGATTTTTCTGAGTGAATTTTCCAATTTTCCAATCATTTTCCAATTTTCTTTTCTTTAATAAGTTAAAAAAAAAAAAAAAAAATTTTTTCACAGTCAAATTAATTAGAGAACTATTGTTTTGTGTGTTTCTTTTCAATTTTTGTATCAAGTATTCCTGCTCAAATTAAAGAAGATCTTAATTAAAATTTAAGATTTATCAATGTGTTCTCAGAAGCCAATACCTGATATCATTCCACCACCGAGATGTCAGCTTCCAAATCAACCAGAATTCATTCCTCCTCCCCCTGGAATTATTCCTATTTCTGACATCATTAGACGAAGAAATCAGAACAACCGAATCACTGTACAGACACGACTATCTAGACCTTAAATTGACCAATTTCTTTTGTTTTTCCAAGCATGTTAAACTTTCAGGATTTTCTTTTCTTTCATTATATTCTCCTGTTTCCTTTTCCAACTCGTGAAAATTCCGTGCATGTTATCAGGAATTTTTCGCGGTGGCGAAAAGGCAAGAGGCAACAATATTTGATGTGTTCCACATGTGTCCTGACTCCCTCTTGACATGAGCAAGAGTATGGATGTTCAAACACAGTATGCCGCGTTGAAACGGAATTAATGTTAATCCTTGCTACCATTAATTCTCATTAAAAAAAAAAAAAAAATTATATATATATATGTATATGTGTTGTGATTTGTATATATATATGTTTATACATGATGGTCTAATTGACTAATTTGAATAAAATTTTAAGCACTATTAAATGTCAAAATTCACAAGGAAGATGCATTATACCCATAATGGTATAAGTGGCGATCTCTATAAATACGCGACCTAATTAAGATCTAAACATTTCTTTCGACGCCGGTAACGAAGACCACACATAAGGAAACCTGCAATCAGTAGTAGCGCGACAGATGACTCATCCCCATTACTGCCTCCGGTCTACGCTCTTTAATTGCAGTCTCGCGATGACCGATACGAGCCGCTATGGCGTAGTGGTACACCGTGCGACTCGCAACCATCGGGCCAGGGTTCGATCCCAATCCCCAACAAAATAATTTTTTTTTTGTGGAGAAAGGATTCTCTCCCTTCCCTCCGCACGGAAATAAATTATATTTTATTGTAAAATAATTTTATTTTTTTTGGACAGTTTTTTTTATTTTATATTTTTTTTATTTTATTTTTTCTACATGATTACAAATTATTTTCACTCCGTGTCCGGAAAGATCTTATCATTGACTGGGTCCTCCGGAAGGAGAACCATCCTCCGTCCTTCCGATAGGACCACTACCCTGAGATTTAAATACCCGGGACCTGAAATCAAAGAAAGGGAGATAAATGGAAATTTTCCTTAAAATTAAATGAAATAAGGAACATATGTATAAATGATAAATACCTTCTCCTACCAACACTTCATCATCCTGTCCTTCCGGACACGGAACATTTGAGTTTTCAATCACTGAAATAAACAATATGAATAGATAAACCAGTTAGTAATAAAGAATTCTTTCAAAAAAAAAAAAAAGAAAGGGGAGAAGGATAAAAATTTATACGTACCTCTCTCCATCGTAATCCTTCTCGTACTGACCATACGGCGAGATTTTGCTGACACTGACAGTTTTGAGATGAGAAGATGTCTAGTATAATTCAAAGAACTAAAATTGTATTATGTGTTGTGTATGCATATGTGTACAAATTATAATATATTATTATATTTATTGTATTTTGTAATTCTCGTAAAACTTTAATTCAATTTATTTTAAGGTTCAGTTTTTTCCAAATTCTCCTCTAGATAGTTCGAATATGCATTAATTGGCGCAATGTTTCAGGGGTAGAATCTGAAAAGTTTGTATCCAAAATCCTTCCCTATTCGCCTTCCTAATTTCGTACATCGGAAAATTCGCATGCAAGTTAGCAGGAATGTTCCGTGGTGGCGAAAATCATTTCTAGAATAATTTTTGTTTTTCTAAGGTAAAGAAAATAATTTTCTTTCTAAAAAAAAAAAATTTTTTTTTTCTGATTTTCTTTATTTTCTAAATCCTAAAAGTTAAAAATAATTTTTATAATTTTTATTCTAAAATAATTTTTCCAATTTTCCAACCTTTTCAAAATTAGGAAAATCTAATACTCCATTTTTTTGTTTGTTCTTAAATTCAAAAGCGGATATAATATATAATATACTATAATTTAATTTAATTAAATATGCTTTTCTTTAAAAACTCTAAAAAAAAAAAGAGAAGTGCAAGAAGTTCTTACCTTGCTTTTCATATAATTATTAAAGTAAAATAAAAATTATATGTGCGAATTGTCACAGAGTCTTCTGTTATTTCTTTGCATATTGGGTTACTGTGAGCGACCGTAATTCACCAAACGCAAAAATGCGAAGATAAGCAACAACGTCCTTGAAACTAGAATCCTTCCGCATATCTTTCAAGAAAGGCCTGGATAATTGAGAAGTAAATAAATCGTGATTTAATCTTGATACTGAAATCCAAATTTTATGAAGAGGTTATTCTCTTTTCGCGTCAAGAATTTTATAATAAACCATTAAAAAAAAAAAAAAAAAAAAAACATTCCTGGAAAACTTTAAAAATTTTAGTTGAAAATCTAATTTCTAATAACTGTCAAAATAAATGTACGTAATTACTTCAAGATAAATTTTTACGAAAATCGGTGAGAACTTTAAAAATTCTGCAGTATGCAAGTTTAATGATTTTATTTATAATAAGAAACTATTAATCGTTTCTTTAAAATTGTTTTTAATTTTTTTCTTTGAGATATGTACATTTACATATAAGATATTTGTACCAGAACAAATCCTCGTTCTTATATGTAAAAATTTTACATATGAATATATTATATTGTAATAATATATTATAATAATACTTAGGTATGTATTATATATTCAAACTTTTACAAGAGTTATAAATAATTTTAATATTAAACATTATTTGTTTATAAAAATTCAAAAATAATTAATCACTAAACAATTTTCATAAGGTTATAAAAAAATATCAAATTCAATTAATTAGAAGAGTAAAAAAAAAAAAAATTTTATTTATTACTTAAATATTTGTTATAAATATTGTTTACAAATATAAATATTGGTGAATATTTTAAATATTATTTTTAAACTTTCGTCAATATATCGAAAAATATTTTTGCATTTAAACGAAAACGTCGATATATAGAAAATTATTTTTGCATTTAAATTTTTATCACGAAACTTTTATATAATTTTTAAATTTTTGTTGTTGGAAAGGTTAATGTTTGAAGTTGACGTTTTATATAAAAATTTGTAATGTTTGTTTATGTCAATTATAATTATACCAAACAAGGTAAAATACAAAATTTACCCTTATATAAATTACCCTCCAAAAAAAAAAAAAAAAATTTAGCTGCAACAAAAATAACACCATGTTTTCTCTGTGTATTAATAATAATTAACAACTTGCATGCAGCAGTAATGAGATAGTTGATAGATAGTTGAGCGCCACTTGATAGCTGCATAAGATCCACCGTGCTTAATCATCAAGGTTGAGTCGAAGGACGTAGCTGCCGATTGCGAAAATTTCTTCTCTTGAGACAAAGAAGATTATAAAAAAAAAAGAAGAGGGATAGGAAAATAAATAATTTTTTTTTTTTCAATCAAAACATAACTATATTTTTTTGAATTTCTTTTCAACTGTTAAAAAAAAAAAAAAAAAAAAAAAAAAAAAAAAAAAAAAAAAAAAAAAAAAAAAAAAAAAAAAAAAAGGGGGGCGAGGGAAGAAAGAAAATTCTTATGTATTCTGAATAAAGTAAATTATCCGAAATAGAGAATCGAACGTTCCCTACATTAGTTATAACAAATTATAATCACTCATGATTGTAATACTCACAATGTTCCACCCTTGATAGATTGATATTGGTTCTTCCCACTCCAGTTTATATTTTTGTAAATATACCAAGGCAAGGGCTGGACTTCTCGGACGATACCCCTTCCTTGGGGGAACGCTGGGAAGACATGACAGCGGGCTGGAACAAATTATAATATTATAGTTGTCTGTATATAATAATTCTTAAAAAAAAAAATATATATATATATATATACGAATAACTAGCTGTCGCACCCGTCTTCGACGGTTATAATATTTAGATTTAATAAATTTTGAAATTTATAATTACATCCAACTATACGTGTTCTCCTGTATTAAAATATCTTTTTATAAATTCTTAATTATTATTTATTCAATTCAATTTAATTTTTCTACTGCTTTTAATAAAATTAAAATAATTTAAAATTGTATTTAATTTTATAGTATTGAAAATAAAAATTATTTTAATCAATACAATTTAAATTAAAATTTAAAAAAAAAAAAAAAAAAACTTTAAAAATCATTTGAAGAATAAACTTTTAATAGAAAAATTTCTTTTAAATAAAATGAAAATAATTTAATTTTATCATATTTATTATATTATATTTAAGTTTATTTAGTTTATTTAGTTTTATTATATTTAAAAATAATTTGTATAATAATAATAATAATAATAATAATAATAATAATAATAAAAAATATAATAATTGTTAATTTCAAAGAGTAAAAAAGTAATTTTCGATTTTTTATTTTTACAATATCTGATTTCATATTCAGATTTGCAATTAATTTTAAAATTCTGATAAAATTCTTAAATTGAAATTCTTAAAATTTCTTGTTAAAAGCATACTTAATTGGTCACAAAATTTTAAATAAAGAACGTTTAGTAAAGAATTATCAAAAAAAATAAAAAAATTTGCATTTTTGATTTTTTTTTTAAATTTTTGAAAAAAAAAATGTCATAACTTTCGTTCATGTTAATATTTTTTTTAATCAAATATGGCTAAGATTTTAAGTTAGTCTATTACCTAAAAGACTGCCAAGTTTCACTTAAATCGGTTAAGCCGTTTATACGTGATTGGCGAACAAAATATTGTGCAGACAGACAAAAGTATAATTTTTTTTAATATAGATATATATATATATATGAATAATACTTACAGGTAGCCTGTGTTCACCCCGAGCACACCAACTATCTCCTCCATTGTTTCATCAGATGGAACTTCGGTATTCGCAGGAAATTCGAAGTTCTCTGGGGCCCAATACTTTCGCATTTCGTATCTTTCCATCTCCCAATCCCATCTGTACTCTTGGTGCCAAACTGCGTTATCGTATGGCGCATCCCTAACGTAAAAAGACGCTGTGTCCAAGGGCCACATTCCAGCATCGCTCCTTATTGCAGCGTCTGCCCACTCAGACATAATGATTTGAACCCTAAAGAGAAAGGGGGGGGGGGGAATTAATAACCTATCTGAGTAATTCTCTTACGCAATGCTTACCCCCGTTGACCACTTCCGAAAGAACATCTTTGAGCCTCTTCTATCTCTTGCCGTTTTAAATTCAAAAATGTTGAAATATCCGTCACTCCTCGTTCTATATATTTTAGAACGACCTGCATGGTCTCGAAATTGAAAATGTTTTCTCCAGACATAATTTTGTTGATCACAGAGCACACACAAAAAAAGGGGGTTGGAAACGAAAGAAAAATATCCAGCGAACCGATTAAGACAACTGACGGATAAAGACTAAAATTTAATATGAAGACTTACAGAATTATGAGTAGCACGGGAAATGATGGGTAAATTTACGCAATTCATCAAATTTTGAGTCTAAAAGAACCGTGAGAAAACTTTAGACATATGCATTTTATAGTTTTAATGACAATAAATAAAATATTGTCTTTAAGTAATTGAGGAAACTACCTATTTATCCCGAAATCCTACCCCTTTTTTAATTCATACAATTTATTGCTTCTTAAACAACATAAAATAATTTTTACTTGTTTTCCTCTTTCCAAAAGTTTTAGTGCTAATTATTTATTTATTTAACTAAAAGTTCTTATCATATTGATAATAATCTTAAAAACTAAAAATTAATCAAGCTGATAAATTACCTTTATTATTTTCAAAATTTATAAGATTTTCAACATTTCACTATTAAAAAAAAATATATATATATAACGATCAATTAAAATAATTTTGATTTTCTTTTACTATTGAAATTCTTTAAATTTATACACTATGATCCTAAAATAGTTAAATAAAATAAAATAAATTTTTAATTTTTATATTCCCGAACATGAGCAGGAATATTCCGTGGTAGCGATACAAGGGTTGTAACGCTACCACCGTAAAATGAGATAATGGTTGAGCATTTAGCCATTGTCTCCATCCAAATTGAAATTAACATATTTCTGTTTTTAGATATCTGAAAGATGACCTCCAATCACCTTATGTTCTAATCTTAACTAGAGCCAATTCGGAGAGATGTCAGGACCAAGGAATTCTGAACCATTGTTATGGTCCAGAATTCCGCCGCATGCTGTCGCATTTTGGACTTACTCTGGGTAGAGTAAACCGATGTCAACGACTAGATGAAATCATCTACCATGAGGTCGATTAAAAATCAAATTCGTTCTCAATTAACCATGGTCTACCAATTGCAGTCAAGTCTTGACCAGGCCAGGTCTATAATGTCGCCATTTATAAAAAAAAAAAACAAGGCCGTTCCTGACCTATATAACATCGCTGCGGATGAAATGACATCTATAAATCCTGTGCTTATCCTGTACGAGTTAGCAGAGCCACGGGATCACCCATTACCTGACACAAATGAGGATTTTATACTCCAATGATGTACGTCATCCGTTACAATTTTCGCCAAAAGTATTATGTTTAACCATCTTTTGTAAACACAAATGATGAAATAACGCCCAAATTTATAAGTTTTTCACGTTATCCCGTGCCCAGGAATTTTCCGTAGTGGCGACATTAATGTTAAACAACGGAAAATCTTGTTTTAAAACTTTGCAATAAAATTATTATTTTTTTTTCTTTAATTATCCGCTGCCAATTAGGGGAAAATATTAATAATAACTTAATCAAAATTCTATCATTATCTGGCATTTGGCCCCAATGGTACCGTCAGGTCTGGTGTGATTATAGCAAACGCTCTTTTTTTTACAGGGATATCTATTATTCCATCGTTTGTAGGGTAAAATTAAAACATTATAATTGTTAACATTAAATTAAGTAAAATGTACAACCCCTGTCGAGTTCAAGAGCCCTAAGTTTATCGGGGACGACAAACGGAATTTCCATGGTGGTTTGTAACGTCAAAAACTTTTACATTATTTTATATGATTATGATATATATATTTTCAAAATTTAATTTCAATTTCTTTTGGACTCGCTTTATTTTTCTGAGCAAGTCCAAAGTTCGCGCAACTACCTGGAATTTCCATGCGTCAGCGCCCCCAGTATATTCACCTATTTGAAACAATTGCTAAATGTTGAAATTAAAATTATATTTCGAAATTAAAATTCTTTTATTTTAGCTCTTGAAATCGGTATGGGTTATTAACCTTTCCCTAAATTATAATTAATTATTTTTATACGTAGGGGATAATTAATGGTCTATAATATTGAGAAGGAGCATAGATACGAGCTCCCCGTGTATTGTAGTACCATCGGAACCTTGCGGCGAGCCTCCTGACGTTTTTCGTGAATAACTCAGGAACTACTCAAAGTAAAATTATAAAAATATGATATTCGGACTCGGAACGACGCCGCAGGCTCTAAAAACCTTGGTGCAAACTTCCCAATCCATAAACAACGAAGTTACCAATTGGGAAGGTTGCGAGTAGAAAACGAAGCTTGCGAGGCCTTTCCGAGCTCAGGTAACCTTTTCTCAAAGTTCCCAGATTGTAAACAACGTAACTAGCGAACGGAATTTTTGGGAAAGTTGCGGTTTTGAAATTATTATTCTATTTAATTTTCTAAATCTAATAAACCTTGCCGCAACGTTCCCGAACGATAAACACCGATGTTAATCCGGATAACCTGTAAAGCATCGCGGACCATTGGTTATCCATGCGCGTACCTGTAAGAATGTTATGGGATGAATAGAAACGCATAAACTCGCATGTTTATACCTAAAATATTACTATTATCATCATTATTGTTTCAGATATACGAATGGTTATATTATTGTAAAATAGTCACAAATTTTGAAGTTTATCAAATCAAAATTTGGAAATTGTAATTATCGAAATTAAAATGATATAAGAATTAAAATAAAGTAATTCATATATCATTACAGGCAAGAGGCTTCACTCCACGCGTTGAGTGAAGGCTCCCCGCGCATCCCTCGGCATTGTGCGAGAGAGAAAAGAAATTGTATGTAATGGCGAAGCGTTCTCTCTCACATACATTGTTCTCGCGGAGTATTGCGTTCTCCCTCTGTCACATGGTTTTCTCTCTTACTCCACAGACCGTTGAATGCATGGCGGTCGTTGGTTCTCGCATACTCATTTGGACTATACCTTACAGGCACCTATACATGTGAGTTCGGGCTATAGGCGCTTACATGGTACGCTATATTCCACAGTACCATTACACTCTTATTCTCCTCACCTATTCTTTCTCCTTACCTCTCTTCTTCTGTCCAAGCCTACAAGCTATGCAATACAGTGCTGTCAGATTAAAAGCACGTGTATTTATTTTGAATTATGCTACTGCTCAATTCCAGATTAAAATTGGGTATGAAATTAAAATATTTCCCTCAATACTGGAATTCAAATCACATTAAAAGATGTATTTTAAAAATTAAATATTTTTAAAGATACATATACAGTGAATGTATCAAGGATTTCCTACAAGGAAAATTCCTATTTTTCAATTAATCATCCTTTCAGGATAATATATCAATTTTATTAATTATTTTACTGGGATTAAGCTTAATTCCAATTCTCGAAATTATTTAGCAATTTCCATTCAAATGTGAAGTCAGCTAAAAATCAGTGTAGCAACAAAGTTCAATACTCCCAACTTCCATGTCCACACGTTTTCCAAAATTCTGATTCAGCATTAATCTCCCACTTTTCATCCCTAAGTGTACCTATAAGGCGTCTCTGGCCCCTAATTCGATGTTCAGTACGGTTTTGGTGAAAGACGGGATAACACCCGTGCCTCCACCAATTAAAAAGCCAACGCGCTCCCGTCCGGTACTAAGGACCCACTTTAATTGTATGCTTATACAATTACTGCGGCCGGACGTAAAATAAAATCCAACTTACTCCGAAGTCCACGGAGGCCGGTTGAAATCAATTCGGGGAGAAGTTTTAAGGGAACGTCGCTTTCCTTATCTTTGTCGCGAGACCAGCCGGGTACGTGTAGGACCCGCGCCTGCCCTTGTAATTGACGGTCAACAAATTAGAGTAAAAGGGTGGATTTGTCTGTCCCTGTCTAGTTAACGCGAAAACGACATACGGCAAACCGCTAATGCGCCACCTGAGTGAGTGTGAGAGGACACAAAATTATAATAGTTTTTATTTTATTTTTTTTTATTGAATGTTTTGCCCGTCGGAAAGTGTTTGTAAGAGGCGAGAAGGTGTCAACTCTCGACTATTCGACGGTAGAATAAGGAACATGGAACGGTAAGTACTCAACGTATCGTTCCGAACTAAAATTCAATTACATTTGTTAAATTTAATTATTTCTTTTTATGTCTTGCTAATTTCTTTTGATAAATAAAAATTTGTGATTCTTTTCCTAATTCTTTGCTAATTAATTCTTTCCCTCTATTCTATCCATGACAATTTAATTAAAGAAGTCGCGGTATATTTTCTAATTTAATCTAGAAAATATCAGCATTTTAGCGAAAACGAACCCATGAATATAAACTTAAATCCAAATTGGATTTAAGGCAGTTTGGACCTCCGAGAACTCTAGAAATTTAGGCCATCTCAAAAGCCTACAGTTTCTTTTAATTAATTATTTTTAAAGTAATTGATTTCTATAAACTAATAATTTCTTTGGTTCGTAACACGTGTATTCGGGAATTTGTTTTTTAACTTATATTTCGACCATACCTCCACGTATATATAAAAGTGTTTTCAGGACTTAATTTTTTTTAAAGATATTTTGCCATACCTCCACGGGTATATACACGTGTACTGGGGACTCAATTTTAATGAAAGATATTTCGACTATATCTCCACGTGTATATACATGTGTTTTCAAGACTTAATTTTTTTTAGATATTTTTCCATATTCTCCACGTGTATATACACGTGTACTCGTGACTCAATTTTAATAAAAGATATTTTGACCATACCTCCACGGGTATATACACGTGTATATACACGTGGAGAATGTGGAAAAATATCTTTAAAAAATTAAGTCTTGAAAACACATGTATATACACGTGGAGGAAGAGTGGAAATCTCTGTTAAAAATTAGAAAAAAATTACACGTGTAATTTATACTTTGTTATTTTTCGAATATGTTTCAAAAAATTACACGTGTAATTTATACTTTGATATTTTTCGAATATTTTTCAAAAAATTACACGTGTAATTTATACTTGAAATTTGAAAATTATTTTCAAAAAAATTACACGTGTAATTTCATGTTGCCTAATCTACACGTGTAATTACACGTGTAATTTATACTTTGATATTTTTCCAATATTTTTCAAAAAATTACACGTGTAATATATACTTTGATATTTTTCAAATATTTTTCAGAAAATTACACGTGTAATATATACTTTGATATTTTTCAAAAATTTACACGTAAAATTTCACGTGTAATTTATACTTTGATATTTTTCGAATATTT